GTAGGGGTAAATCTTCATGACTTCATATTTGGCAATAGATTTATAAATTTGATACCAGAGCAGCAAAAGGAAAAATAGATAAATGAAACTTCATCAAAATTAAACTTGGTGCAGCAAGAATATAATTAAGAATGTGAAATGACAACCGAATGAATGGGAGGAAATATTTTCATATTATGTATGTGTAAGAGTTTAATGTTTTGAATACACAAACCATTCTAACAGCTTAAAAAGAAAAATAAAAGCAACTTAATTTAAATAGAAAGTGTACTTGAATGGCATGTATCCAAAGAAGATATACAAATGGGTGATAATATATTATATTATTATACTATATATAATATTATATATATATTGGATAAAAATGATATATTATTATTCAAGTTCAAATCATTGGCCATTAAATACAAGTTAAAACCACAATAAGAGCTGGGTGCAATGGCTCAGACCTATAATTCCAGCACTTAGGGAGGCCAAGATGGGCAGATCACCTGAGGTCAAGAGTTCGAGATCAGCCTGGCCAAATTGGTGAAAACCCATCCCTACCAAAAACATAAAAATTAATCAGGTGTGGTGGCACATCCCTGTAATTCCAGCTACTCTGGGGACTGTGGCAGAAGGATTGTGTAAACCCAGGAGGCAGAAGTTGCAGGGAGCTGAGATCATGCCACTGCACTCCAGCATGGGTGACAGAGTAAGACTCTGTCTCTAAATAAATAAATAAATAAAACCACAATGAGGTACCACTTTACATTCACTAGGATGGCTTCAATAAATACAGAAAATTACAAGTATTAGCAATTATGTGGAAAAATAGAAATCCTACATTGCTGGAAGGAATAAAAAATGCCACATTTACTGTAGAAAAGTTTGGCTCTTATACAAGAAGATAAACATAAAATCACCACTTGACCCAGCAATTCAACTCCTGAGCATATACCCATGAACGATGAAAACGTGCTCATAAAGAAAGACACACAAATGGTCAAAGCAAGATTATCTATAACAGCCAAAAGTTGAAAACAATGCAAATGTCCATAAACAGATGAATAACAAATTGTGATATATGTGCGTGGAAAATAAAATATATTTCAGCGACAAAAAAGAATGAAGTACTGATACACGTTGCAACTTAGATGAGCCTCCAAAACTTTATACGTGAAAGGACCCAGAAATAACAGGCTACATATGCTATGAATCCTTTATATATCCATAACAGGCAAATCCATGGAAACAGAAAGAAGATTAGAGGTCATTACATGATAGGGTGGAGGAATGGAGTGATTATTTAATGAATACGATATGTTTTTGTGGAGTGATAAAAACATTTTGAAACCAGAGAAAGCTGGTGGTTGCACAACATTGTGAATACATTAAATACCACTCAAGTGTACACTTTAAAATGGTTAATTATATATTGTGTGAATTTCACTTCAATTTAAGAAATGACATAATTCCCTGATCTACAGACTTAATGCAATCCTGTCAAAATCCCCATTGGCTCCTTTGAGAAAATTGACAAGTTTATTCTAAATTTCATATGAAGATTCAAGGGACCCAGAATAGTGAAAACGGTACTGAAAAAGAACAACAAAAGACTCACGCGCCTTGATTTGATTTAATAACTTGGTATTAATACAATATTACAGTAATTAAGACGATGTGCCATAGGGATTAGGAGAGACATATAGATCAATGGAGTACAATTGAGAGCACACACACACACACAAAACCTTCACACATTTATAGTCAATTGGATTTTGACAGGGTTGCCAAGACAATTCAATAGGGGAAAAAATAACCTTTTCAACAATGGTGCAATGACAACAGGATTGATGTTTACACATCATCTGATAGACACCAAATTCCAACTGTTATCTGTACAAATCATTTTAGTTTACACTCAATGAAGGCTTCCCTTCCCTCTTCCATCCACCTACTCTTTCCCATCACCCACCTCTGCACCTCCATGTAGAGCATTCCGATCCATCTGAAACCCTCCTCTGACTCTCACTGCAAATATTTTATGGCCTATTTCAATTTGCAGGAATTCAGGAAACCCACCTAGGTTAAGCCATTCTTTCCCATTCTCAAATAAACTGTGTGCAATAATGATGCTCATCTTCATCATATGGCATATTTTATATTTTCATATTTGTCGGTAATTGATTCCATTTCACCTGAAATATGCATTCTGTTTCTCCTTGGGTAGATTTATACATATATATACTTTAAGTTCTGGGATACATGTGCAGAAGGTACAAGTTTGTTAGATAGGTATACACGTGCCATGGTGGTTTGCTACACCCATCTGGGCCCCGGCATTGATGCTCCCCTCCGTGTGTCCATGTGTTCTCATTGTTCAACTCCCACTTATGAGTGGGAGCATACAATGTTTGGTTTTCTGTTCCTGTGTTAGTTTGCTGAGGATGATGGTTTCCAGCTTCATCCATATCCCTGCAAAGGACATGAACTCATCCTTTTTTATGGCGGCACAGTATTCCACAGTGTATATGTGCCACATTTTCTTTATCCAGTCTGTCATTCATCAGCATTTGGGTTGGTCCCAAGTCTTTGCTATTGTGAATAGTGCTGTAATAAACATATGTGCACCTGTGTCTTTATAGTAGGATGATTTATAGTCCTTTGCTATAGTATGGCTGAATATGAAATTCTGGATTGAAAATTCTTTAAGAATGTTGAATATTGGCTCCCACTCTCTTCTGGCTTGTACTGTTTCTGCAAAAAGATCCGCTCTTAGTTTGATGGACTTCCTTTGTCTTAGGATTGCTCTTCTCAAGGAGTATCTTTGTGGTCTTCTCTTTATTTCCTAAATTTGGATGTTGGCCTGTCTTGCTAGGTTGAAGAAGTTATTCTAGATAATATCCTGAAGAGTGTTTTCTAACTTAGTTCCATTCTCCCCATCACATTTAGGTACAGCAATCAAACGTAGGTTTGGTCTTTTTACATAATCCCATATTTCTTGGAGGCTTTGTTTGTTCCTTTTCATTCTTTTTTCTCTAATGTCCTTGCATTTTATTTCATTAGGTTGATCTTCAATCTCTGATATCCTTTCTTCTGCTTGATCAATTTGGCTATTGATACTTGTGTATGCTTTACAAAGTTCTCGTGCTGTTTTTTTCAGCTCCTTCAGGTCATTTATGCTCTTCTCTAAACTAGTTATTCTAATTAGCAACTCGTGTAACCTTTTTTAAGGTTCGTAGCTCCCTTGCATTAGGTTAGAACATGGTCCTTTAGCTCAGTGAGGTTGTTATTACCCACCTTCTGAAGCCTATATCTGTCAATTCATTAAACTCATTCTCCATCCAATTTGTTCCCTTGCTAGAGAGGAGTTGTGATCCTTTAGAGGAGAAGAAGCATTCTGGTTTTTGTAATTTTCAGCCTTTTTGCACTGTGTGTTTTTTTAAATTATTTTTTCCTCATCTTCATGGATTTATCTACCTTTAGTCTTTGATGCTGGTGACCTTTGGATGGGGTTTTTGTGTGGATGCTCCTTTGGTTGATATTAATGCTATTTCTTTCTGTGTCTTAGCTTTCCTTCTAACAGTCAGGCCCCTCTGCTGCAGGTCTGCTGGAGTTTGCTGGAGGTCTTCTCCAGAACCTATTTGTCTGGGTATTGCCAGAAGCGGCTGCAGCCCTGCAAAGATTGTTTTCTGTTCATTCTTCTGGAAGCCTCATCCCAGATGGGCACCTGCCAGATGCCAGCCAGATGGAGCTCTCCTGTATGAGGTGTCTGTCAACTTCTGCTGGGAGTTGTCCCCCAGTCATGAGGCATGGGGGTGAGGGGCCCACTTGAGGAGGCAGTCTGTCCTTTAGCAGTGCTCGAGTGCTTTGAAGGGAGATCTACTCTCTTCAGTGCCAGCAGGCAGGGACATTGAAGCCTGCTGAAGCTGCATGCACAGCCGCCCCTTCCCCCAGGTGCTCTGTCCCAGGGAAATGGGAGTTTTATCTATAAGCCCCTGACGGGCTGCTGCCTTTCTTTCAGAGATGCCCGCCCAGAGAGGAGGAATCTGGACACACAGTCTGGTTACAGCAGCTTTTTTGGAGCTGCAGTAGGCTCCACCCAGTTCAGACTTCCTAGTGGCTTTGTTTACATTGTGAGGGGAAAACCGCCTATTCAAGCCTCAGTAATGTCACACGCCCCTCTCCCCACTAAGCCCAAATGTCCCAGGTCAATTTCAGACTGCTGTGCTGGCAGTAAGAATCAAGCCAGTGGAGCTTGCTGGGCTCTGTGGGGGTGAGATCCACTGAGCCAGACCACTTGGCTCCCTAGCTTCAGCCCTCTTTCCAAGACAGTGAACAGTTTTGTCTCGCTGGTGTTCTGGGTGCCCCTGAGGTATGAACAACAACAACAACAAATTTCTGCAGCTAGCTCTGTCTGCCCAAACAGCCCCCCAGTTTTGTGCTGGGCCCTTGTGGTGTAGGCACCTGAGGCACTCTCCTGGTCTGCGGGTTGTGAAGACCATGGGAAAAGCATAGTATCTGGACTAGAATGCACCATTCCTCATGGCAGGGTCCCTCACAGCTTTCCTTGGCTAGGGGAGGGAGTTCCCTGACCCTTTGCCCTTCCTGGGTGAGGAGACGCCCCACCCTGCTTTGTCTCATCCTCCATGGGCTGCACTGTCTAACCAGTCCCAATGAGATGAGCCACGTACTTCAGTTGGAAATGCAGAAATCACCCACCTTCTGCATTGATCTCGCTCGGTGCTGCAGACCAGAGCTAGTCCTATTTGGCCATCTTTATTGTTTGGGTAGATTATTTTTATTTAAACAAGTTAGTCTACATATTCTAATTATTTAACAATCTAATTTTATATTTTCCATTATGCTTACTGGATATTCATTCATACAATAAAAACTTAAAGTGCTTCTGAAGCATTACTGTTTGACCAGTTAAACATCCCTAGTAAACACAGAGCAAGTCAATGAATCACAGATTCACAAGCAGTCACATAACTAAGCTTTTGTTAACATTTTACCTTCTCCATTTTGATCAGGAAGCAATCAATAAAGTCCCGAGGGTTGTTCATGTCCATCGATTCTTGGTGTTCTTTTACTTTCTCCAAAATATAACTTTTCACAAAAGCAATGTTTTTAAGTAATTTGTTATGGGTTCCCGGGAAATAATCAATGATAGGAGAAAAATTGTTGCAGATCTAAGAGAAAACAATAATTTATTAAATTAAAAGATTTTAATAAAGGCATATATACCATATACCAAGCTCTGGTTGTAAATTACAGCTATAAATATAAATAAAATATATCATATATCTTGATGGGGAAATTTTTATTGTATATAGGTAGTAATTATCTGATTATAAAAGATTTGAGGAATAAAATTCTGACCAGTGAATCAATTCTAACCAGATGATAAACATTTTCTAGACTCATACCTCCTTTTTATTGTATAAAAGCATCTTTATATTAATTCTGTTACTTTTTACAATTCTTCTCTACAATCTTGAAATATAAGATGGCATGAATTGCCACATTCACGTTTTGTAGACGACAGCATAGGTTAAGAGAGTTTGGACAACCTGATTGATAGTACAAAGCTAGTCCCTAGTATATTGATTTCTATCAAGCAGCCTCTGAAATGGAATTAGTATTTTAGAAGTAGGAGGAGCTCAAAGATACTTCAAATACCAACTGTGTACCAGAGCAGTTAAATGACTTCTGTAAAATCACACATTATTTAGGCAGAGTATAAAACATGCCAATTCAGCAGAGTATAAGTGTGATGTCTGTTTATGGTTCATACACCATAAAACCAATAATTTTGTCATTCCTAACCCAGCTATCTCATCAGCTAGAATCCCAACTGAGATATCAAACACCTCTGCCCTATTCATGTTTCTTGGCAGCTTCTATGGTCCCAAATATTCTCCCTTCTTGAAGAAGATATCTTTTAAATTAGGATATTTCTGCCACACAATATGACAAAGTGTGAATTGAAGGACAAGTCTTGTGAGTAACGGAAGCCTCCAAAGTGCCTGGATGTCCATAGAGTGATATGAGCACGCTTTGGGGCTGTCACCAAAGTACTTTATCGAAACAGGGCTTTGGAGTTTAGTGGAAGAAACATTGATAAGGGAGCTAATGGACTTAGAAGTCAGGCCTATATTGGGACATTTATTTCCCATGCATAAAATAAAGGGCTTGGCTATCTTTCCCAGATATTCACCCCATGACTGTCTGGGCAACACTGTAGTATTCAAAAATGCACTTCAGAGCTTGATCCATATAGAATTTTGGATTTGTCAGAAAAAAAGAGCATAAGTGGTTTATCAGGAAGTAAAAATCTTGGCCTTACCTGGATCCAGGGGCTGCTCAAAATCTTGGCGTTTTCATTAAACTTTTCCATCAAGTTAAGAAATTGCTGATCTTTATAATCAAAACGTTTATGGAAAATAATGGAGCAGATCACATTGCAGGGAGCACAGCCCAGGATGAAAGTGGGATCACAGGGTGAGGCTAAAGAATTAGAAACAATTTAAAACACTATTAAACTTCAGATATAAAATGTTTTGTATTTGTTAACAGATAATAGCAGTTTAGAAATTTTAAGCAATATCTTACCTACGAATTCCCTCAACAGCAAAAAAGAGCTCAGCATGCATAAAATCAACACAGCACTTTGACATTAATCCCGAATTGACCATTACAACCTAGCTGGTTAAATAACAGTTGTTCAAATATAAATTTACATTGCCAGCCTATTTGTCTTTTACTTTGGGGGAAAAAAAGACATTTTCTAAAAACCTAATAATTCAGGTTTCAGAGGAAATAACATCAGTCTGCAAAGTCTGTAGACAACAAGGCACTGAGATAGAAAGGGCAAGAATAGTTGAGGATTTTAAAACTTTTTATATATAATGAATAGCTGAAACACTCCTGTGTTGAACCAGTAGAGAGGAACTACAGAGACTGTGGGTGAATTCATGTATTTAAGGAAATAAATGTAAGAAGCAGAATGTGTTTTATAAGAAGGAAAATAAATGTAAATGAATAATATGCCTAACATAGATTAGTTTGCAAAAATTTAAATGAAAACTTTGTTTGTTGTTTGTTTTTGTTTATTGTTTGTTTGTTTTGAGATGGAGTTTCACTCTTGTTGCCCACGCTGCAGTGGAATGGCATGATCTCAGCTCACCACAACCTCTGACTCCTGGGTTCAAGCAATTCTCCACCTCAGC